TATAGACTGGTATTTCATTTCATTTTTTGGAAACCCGTATAAAATTCTACGCTTGAAGCTCTAGTTCTGTAGTCTGTCGAATTGACAGGACAAACCGTACTACGGTTAATGAAATTAGAAAACGGATGAGAAACGATGTTGATTAGTTCAATCCTATTTTATATCTTACGTTCTCTCTGACTAAGGTCGGTTGTTACTTTCTTCTTTTTTTGTTTCAGAAAAACGTTGTAAGCAGTGTATCCAATCTAACCAATAGCTCAGGTAATTTCCTACATCTTATAACTTTCATTATCGAAGATCATTCGAAAAGTCGAATCTTCTTCCGAAATTTCCGAAAAGTTCAAACTGTCCAAAGTATCTCGTCAGAGCTCGAACTTTTGGGAAAATATTTAGAAAAAATTTGAGAGCCAATGTATTGCGTTAGAGTTATTATTTTTTAAATCGATTCGTGTTTCTCAGTGACTAGAGATTCTATGTGAAACATTGGCAAACGTCGTTGAAAATCAAAATTTCCCTTGAAACTTGAAAGTTAGCCGGTTCACGTTGCGAATCTTCTGAATAACTTACTGGATAAGTAACAGATGGCGCTAGTTTATTACTGGCTTACGTGGCGCTAGTATCGCGCGGTTCCAATACAACTTAATTTCTTTTAACTCTTTGGGATTAAAAAATGTCCCACCTTTTGCTATTTTAACCTACCTCGAAAAGTCGAAGTCACTCATAGTCATACAGTTTACATTTTAATATTCTTTCCGTTTTTTTTTTATATTGGAAAAAATTCTGTGCAACTTGGGCTCTCATTTTCTTCAGAATCGTGTGCCTTAAAAAGTTAGCCAGTCCATTTAATTCCAAACTTGTGCCAAATACGTTTTAATGAAGCATATTTGTTGCAGTACCCCAGATTTCGATTCCATCGACTCCAAACATCGTCCAGCTACCAAATGTTTCAGCGAGCGTTGAAGCAGCCGAAAAATTGCTTCAAACTAATTTGGGCTCCGCAGGAAATCTTGCTAATACCATCCAGAATGTAATAACCGCAGCGTTGAAAAGTGCTCAGCCTCTTGCTGACTTGATCAACATACTTACCCAAATTCTGAGCGCATTCAGCCAAGTAGCAGCGGGAAATCCGCTGGACGCTGGATTGCTTATCTTAAACACCGGTTTGCAGCTCGTTCAAAACATTCTCCGTGTTGTCATCCCCATCGTGGTGCAAGGTGTTGCCCTAATTTAGACAGTCAATTTTTGACGTAGTATCAGAGAAATATTTATTTCGCTGATAATTATGTAGTAGCGTGGAAATATACTGTACAAGTGCACTAAAAAGTTTTTGCTTGTTTTATTGTTCTCTTTATCCTATATTTGTTTTGTATTAATTCCTTTACATCCATTATTCACGCGTCTCCGTGTGGAGATTGTCAAACGTAAAGACGTGGGTAGGATAAATTCAAACTTGGACCAGATAGGTATCCTAATTTTCAATTTTCTCTGGATATCCTAAATTTCTTAATTCCTGAATTCCGAAATTTCCAAATACCTAAATTAATATGCCTCTCACCATGTTTTAGAATAAACACATCTAACAAGCGTATTTATTTACGTAGAAATTGCAATTGATGTATGTTGCGTTTATTCACACTCGCGTCGCCTTTTTGCCACGCGAAACCTCTCTCCCATTTGTTGAAACGTAAAGCACGTAATTCAGGTGTGAAAATTCAGGGAAAACATCCCTTCCGACGGCGAGGGTAACAAAAACGAAAAAAGGTAAATACGGGTTTCACGGTCGCTGACCGATTCATCCCCGCCCTCCCCCGCTTCTCCTAACAATCTGTTCCCACCTCATAAAATTGTCATCGTGCGTGCATAAAACATGAGAAGACGTTCGAGCACGCAGTTGCACAGCTCGGATCTACACGTGAAAATGTAAGGAAAGATGATGTACGTGGTACACTATCGCGCAAAAGTATCCAGGCATTTGCTTACTTTAGCATTGTTTTATTCTCAGCAACTTCTTTCATTTCTTATCTTTGTTAAATAAGGAATAATAAAACCCGTACGCTCCGATGATTTCAGGGATTTTTGCACTTCTGGATTCTGGAAGTTTTTAAATTTTGAAACTTTTCGTCTCGGCGAGTTTTGCGACTTCCAGGCAGAGCTGGAAGTATCCAAGCTTCAGGGTGTCTGTTTCGTGTTCTCGTGACTAATTTCTGGATTATTGAGAACCTTTTGAAAAGGTTCCTGGGGTTCTGAAAGAAACCCGAGAATTCTGACAGTTCCAACGAATTTAGAGTTCGGACAGAGAAACTCTCAAATTCCTAACTTTCGAGTCCCAAGATTTTGCACGCGATCGCTTCTGAAGCTGCGCGATTCGTTGAAGCTAGTAAAAATTGAAATTAGTAAAAAAAAAAAAAAAAAAAA